CAGAACCTGCACTAACAGAACCCTGTCCCAGAGGCAGTAAAAGAAGCCCTGGAACGAAGTTGACGCTACATTCCTTTGACAATGAAGTTTACACAGTTGCCGAAAAAATGGTAGCTAAGGTGCGATTTATATAGGTTATAATATGGTTGAATAAAATTGGATTGGCTTGTCAAGTTGAGGAGTGATATTTCAAATCGCACAATTTTATTCACCCATTTTATAAACAAATAATAGCATGTTTGTACGTGGATTTTGGGATAAATACCACTTGTGATATTTTCAAGATTGTCACAATCGCTCGTGAAATTTTGTTTGGCAATTTCTAGTGAAATATCACAAGTGGTATTTATCCCAAATATATACAAGTGGTATGGTTGGGAGAACACTCGAAAAGGTAAATTACTCTTCTGACGGCTTGTGATTTACAGATGATCTCTTCTCGTGTTCTTCCAACCATTCCGCGTGGTTTATTTCGCSAGTAAACCGCTTCAAGCTATCGTTTATTGCTTAATTAGTTTTAACTTGAGTTGCTATTTTTGGTTTTCATATGACGTCATCAGTCGAAAAAAATTCTGAAATCACAAACACACAACATTGAAGTACTAAAATACCTTGAAGAGCATGATATTAGTTCTCTCTGAGTGTTTGACCATTTTTGCTGCTTATTTGTTGAGTTATTTTAATAACGTTAACGTTCAAAGATATGTCACGCAATTATGGAAAGAGGTATCATACCACGTTTCATTGCTAAGAATTTTTCGAGAATTTTTCGAGAAAAACACTATGTTTTCCAAAATAACATGAGGCATGAGGCATTCTACATTTTCAACATTAACTTCACCGTAAAATCATCTTTTTTATTTACTTTAGYCAACGCTATGTACAAACAAAAATTGCAATAAAGTCTTGCGGGATGGTAGACTACTCCATACTATCGAGTACTCTTGCAAATTCCAGTACAAGCTAGCGGGATTGCCTSGAATCTATGTGTAAWTTTCTATCCTAGGAACGAGACACTAGTCAGAATGTTTGCTTGGGYTGCCTGTGGGTTCAAGACTCACCATATAAACGGACAGAAATCCCARTTCTATAAAATACGGCATATATCGTGACAAAAGCCTTTGGCATCAGAGGTTGGATTTAAACCTCCATTATAGTTTATTTACCGCGGTATATGCCGTTGATTTTGAAGCCATAAGGCCGAAACGGTAAAACAACATTGGTTTAACGTTTCGACCGTTCTGTCTAAGCAAAATCTATGAGAAGTCCAATTTAGCAAAATCTTTTCCATGGCTTCCGCAAGGCATAACTGACCCATAACTCTCCCGACATAATTTCCATATTTCTAAAGAAAAGGTTAACGCATGCTCTGGCATGATCTTCAATTTTTTGAGCAGAAAACAATWACTCCTTTAATAAAAAAACATAAATAGCGGTATTTTTGTAATAGATATAAATATTCATGAAGTGTTTTAAAATGCATCATTCAACAACTTATCGGTAACAAAACAATGATTGTCTTACATGTTGGGACTGTGCAGTTGCACGATCAGACAAGCTTCGTAACTTAAATATGTCAAATTCTCAAACTATTTGTACTTAGCAAAACTGAATTAAAGTACGCGACATTTTGAAATTTTACTTTCATTTTAATGGTACAAAAATCGTGAAAGAAGTCACATCACAAATGACTTRTATATGCATGCCGAATGTTTGAAAAAGACGCCAAACATTTTATCGCACAGTGTTTTTTGAGCTTATATACTCATTGATAACAGAGTTATACAAAAAAAAAACTTACTTGGTTTTCCTCCAAAAGCGTGTGCATGTCCTTTGAAAAGTCCATRTTCTGAGACAACTGAGGACCGTCCACCACCGCCACCTCCCCCATTGCCTGCTCCAAGACCACCAAAGACTTCAATTCGTCCCACTCCGTCAATTTGATTTGTTATAACAGCAACACCACCACCACTACCACCACCACCATGATTATCGGCATTTTCACCGATTGCACGAATAATCCCGTTCAGTGTTAGTTTTTTTGCAATGATTTGAAGATTTCCGCCACCTTTGCCTCCTCCTGTCCCTCCTCCCCTACTTCCATGAGTTGCAACATTGAAGACGCTCCCATATGCTSGTGCCTGGGCTGCTGATAGTGCCTGGAAGCTTGATGTACCCCCGCGACCGCCATGRCTTCCACCTGACCCACCAGAGCTTGTGACGACACCATTCCCAACTCCTGAGAGTTTTTCACAAAACCCGACATMGATCGTGGCTGAGCTCTGAATTATAAACCCCTCGGTCACATTGAAAGTATGGTTACAGGACAAGCCGTCCATTTCCAAGTAAACATCGCTGACAATAGTTAGAGTCTCGAAACTATGCGTTCCAGGCGAGAACTTGCAGGGAGAGGTGATTTGCTGKTTTGAAGACGYAGGACATTGACTYAGACCAGCCTGTACCAATTTTGCACTTAGCAAAGTGGACAAAAGGAAAAMAAACAACATCTCTTTTACAGAGAAAAACATCTTGAATTGTGAATGACAAGCATGATGATGAACCATTGTCGAAAGCATTTAAAAGATTGCATTTCTTTCACGTATCCATAGGGAAGCGGATGAACATTCCCATTAGGATCTTTACATGTTTGACTTAGGCCTGMGATTGCGATTCGTTAATAAGCGTCTATCAGCATGTCGTCACAAGTTTATATACCTATATATAATATATATGTGTGTAATGTGAATGCTATTAACAAGGTCTTGACCTAGTAAATACAACCATTGTCATACAGCTTGTCCAAAATGAAATGTTTTTGACGCGTTTTTATTATTACAAACCTTATTAAAACTAAGTGCTGGCTGTTATATCTATATAAATTGATTTCTTTGCATGTACACTAATTGAACAAAGGTAGTCGGGTTTCAAAAAGGTTGAGGTTAGCTAWGACCGAAAGKAAGCAARGAAAAGCAAATATTATGAGTATAGTAGTGTTTCAGTAACAAACCTACTAGATTGCCTGCAAACTGAATTGAAATGACCTTCTCTACGAGTAATCCTAATATAAAATGTTTACCCAATCCATAATCATAATCCCAATTTCTGAGTGCTTAAAATACCCATCGATGTTATGATATCACCTTATTGCGACCCGACAATAAACTCTTTTCAATTAGCTGCATACCGAATTTTAAAGTATTTAAATATACATATGTAAGCCTTGAGCAAGTATTAGATCAATCATAGTCTATTAAGTATGGATCAATCAATAGTCGACTTTAGATATTTTGATTGAGTAACCGCGTACAAAATAATCGCGAACGAGGTTCCGGGGAGAGAATGGATAATATGGATGTACTGATGTATTCCTCTACCTGGAGCCCCGTCTACGATTCTTTTGTGCATTGTCTGCAACATTGAACCAAAATATCTAATGTCAGATATTTCCATCAATTTATTTATTCATTCTTTTAATTCTGTCCTGTTGTTCAGTCTGGTTACTACTGAAGAGCAACGATTTCAGACCCCACAGAATCTGACATATCACTGATCCCAGAACCTTTCTGAAACGTGCTGTATGCAGTACTCGCACAGACATGCTTTTCAAAAGAAGCAATTATTGCAGTTGTCTCAGCTCAATTCAGCTTTTATTATTATTATACTTTAATTGTTGGATTAAATGAATAAATGGTTTGATACTATTGAAAAAGCAATTGTTGTGTGATTTCCTGTGAATGACATTGATAATGGCTTCCAATATTTCAGTTTTACATATGATAGGATAGCGTATATGTGTTCAGACAGATTGATTAAGTGATGCCACACAAATCACAAGTTTAGATGAGATAATGACTTTGTTATACAAAGAATAAAACTTGCGACATTGGAATAATACTAAATTAATTAGTTTATTAGATTGCGTTTTTAGTATATATAACACTTTYCATTGTATGGAAACTGAACCTTTTAAAAAATGCTGTTATATTAGTTGAAGTGACGGTTTTGACCG